AACATAGGAATCTTGTCCTAAGTGTGTGGGAATACACCACATTTTCTTTATTCATTAATCTACTGATGCCCAATGTAGTTGCTTGCATTTTGTAAATAATGCTTCTGTAAATGTCTATGAGCCTGTTACTGCGTGGACATGTTTTTGTTTGGCTTTGGTGGGGGTGGGAAGGTATGTGTGGGGATCTACACACATGTACGTAGAAGCTACAGTAGGACATCTCCACCTTATTGCTTTGAGTCGGGGTCTCTCAGCCTACCTAAATCAGGAGTTTTCTGATTTAGGTAGGCTGGCTGACCAGGAAGCTTTCAGGATCTTTATGACTCCATTTTCCAGTGTTGGGGTTACAACCACATATAGACACACTTGGTTTTTTACAAGAGCATTGGGTATAAACACTCAGGTATATATTTGTAGACAAGTTTCCTTGACCCATCAAACCAATCCCATGGTCTCATGGACATACATTTTAACTCATTTGGAAACACACCTAAGATCATCAGAGAAATGCAAAATTAAACTACAGTGAGGTATACCTCACACTTACTAGAATGGCTATTGAAAAACACGGCAAGGAATATATTTTGGAGTGGCTTGTGAGGAAAAAAGAAACATTTGTAGACTATTGGGAGAACTACAGATTGGCATGTCCAATTTAAGAATGGAGATCCATCAAAAAATAAAAGGGACTCTAAATCTCAAAGAGATAGCTGCACTGGATGTTTATCTCAGCTTCATTCACATTGCCAAGCTGGAGAAACTGAGGGATGCATGAATGCAGAAATGTGTCCACAATGGAATATCACCCAGCCTTGGAAGGAGGAAAATCCTGCCTGCCTGTATGCAACACAGTGGGACACTGTGCCAAAGTGGAATAAGCCAGTAGAGAAAGAAAAATGCTGCATTGACCCTCATAGGTAGCATGAGAGAGAGTCAAGCTTATGGAAGCAAGATAGAGCAGTGGTTGTCAGGGGCAAGGGGTGATTGGGCAAATGAAGAGATGTTGGTCAAAGTGTACAAAGCTTTAATTGTGTAAGTGGACTAGATTGTGAAGACAGAAAATGCCACACAGTGACTACAGTTACTACATTATATACTTAAAATTTGCTGTGAAATAGATTTTAAATGGTCTCCCTATCAAAAATAACTACAGGAATTAGAGGATATGTCCATCAGCTCCAATATGCTGATCATTCCCCCAGTGTACACAAGTCAAAGCATGACACTTGGCATAACCCAACTATATAATATTCTTCTGTATAAAATCTAAGTTGCACATCTTAAATACACAATTTGCATTTTTCAATTATACTTCAATAAAGCTGGGAAAAAAGAAACCACTCACAAAGGACCGCATATTATAGGTTTTCATTTATGTTCCAAATAGGCAATTTATAGAGACAGAAAAGTAGATTAGCAGTTACCTATGATAGGAAGGAGAGCCGCTAGGGAATGACTGCTAATAGATAAGACGTTTCTTTGTGGGGTGATGAAAAAGGTTTTAAAATTAGATTATGTTAATGGATGCATAATTTTGCAAATATAGTAAAAACAATTTAATTGTGTACTTTACAGTATATAAATTATGCCCCAATAAACGTGTTTAAACCAAAGTACACATAAATAAGTTGTCTTTTAAATGAGTAAAATGAAATCCACAAAGTTGCTTTATTGTGTATTGTATTGCACTTTGTGCGAGGAGCAGTGGAAGGAACTGCAATAAAAGCTGCTTGTCTGAGCACACAAAAGAAACTGCTCTGTGCGCACTGGCAAGCATCTATCCGGTACCTAGACCGTGAACTTGATTCTTTGTTTCTCTCATTCCTATATTTATTCTCTTTTCAGCCCACTTTCATCCATCAGAAGTAAAAGATATTAACTTCATCTAGGAATGGGAATGAGGGGCTATTTGGTACAGGGAGATAGAAAGACTGTAACAGTGTGCTCAGAGTACCTATGCATCAGGATTTTTATATTATGCCCCAGAGTAATTTAAGTATCCACATCTATATTTTACCTCGAGGCCCTCATAGGTTGTTTATGATTCCAGGCATCTGTAGTCAAACAACAGCACACAATGGGGTGTTGTGAGTGTTTTGTCTAAACCGAACGGCATCTTTTGTGTTATATGTGTGTGTGTGTGTGTGTGAGTGTGTGTGTGTGTGTGTGTGTGTGTGTGTGGTATACATGGAAAGTGGGATGAGAACATGCATGTGAATGTAGAATTCAGAAAAAGGGTATTGGATTCTCTGGAGCTAGCATTACAAGCAGAAGTGAAGCATCCAGCATGGGTGTTAGGAACCAAACTCAGGTCCTTGCAAAAGCAGACTGAGCCATCTCTCAAGTCCACAGAGAGATCAGCTTGCATAACAGGTGGAAACCTTGCCACTCCTCATTAACTTCCCTTTCTGGTATTCCTCACAAAAGCTTTTTTACACACCATAGAAGTCAGTCTTCACAACGTTTGCTTTTTAGATGCTTTTAAATTTATGTGTGTCTTGGGAAGGTGAATTTATGCAAAACTATGAATAATTTGAGAAGCAAATGTTGTCATTGTGACCTAAAGTCATAAAATATATACAACTCTTTGATCCAGAGAGTCTTATTCTTAAAATGAGTTCTTCAGCAATTACAGTGTGTTTAGACTGTATCTGGGAAGTTTTTCCTTAGGACGATCATGAGGGAAGGCTGGAAGCAAAGTAAATGTCAATGACTTAATATTTTTAAATAAATAATAACAAACAAGCTAGAAGAACATTATGTAGTTTTTAAAAATAATGATCCAATAAAAATATAGGTTTCATGCATGCTAAAGCACTTACACTATCATTACTGTTTATGAATCCTGCACAGATAATGTGTGTGGCATCTTCTTGGGACTTAAGGATATGTGTGTGTGTGTGTGTGTGTGTGTGTGTGTGTGTGTGTGTGTGTGTACATATACATATATGTAAAACCCAGGCTATCACCATTAGGTTGTTACCTTTAATCCATTATCTAAGGGCAAGTAAATTTGGATATTTGAGCTGTTGAAGGAAACGGATCATAAATGAAGGAAAACAGATGGACACAAAAATCAAACTACAGCAACCATAGCTTCTCTTGCCAGAGTTAAGTAGCTTTTGCTTTAAATGTGTTACAACCACAGGAGGTTTGGACTATCGTATTAATAAAAAGACCTCATTTGCGGTACCTCAAATGAACTCCACATGCCAATTAGCTATTGTACTTCTAAAAAAAAAAGTGAGCTTCTTGAAGAGAAGTTCGGGTCAGGTTACTGAAACTGCAAAGGTGTCCCATTTGCTGAGTCTGAAAAGTCCTTGTGTGATCTCCTCCAGGTTCATGAGTCAGCACGAGCAGTGCTCAGAGCACTGGCGCAGCTGACAGCATGGTTTTGCGCAAGTGCTCCCATGCTTCAGTTGGCACTGCTGGTCCCCTTTCACGGCCTTAGTCTCCGGGGATTCGAAACTCCCAGATGCAGCTGGAGGAGAGAGCTGACAACACTTGGAAGTCCCTGGTCTGTGCAAACAACTCAAATGCCAAAGGACACTGCAGATGCGCCCACTGTTAATTAGACAGACCTAAGTCCTGAGACACGCGTCATGACCGTGAGCAGTATGTCTACTTACAGCCACCCATAAGCATGCGCTGAGGCGATACAGCCTGGGAATCCCAGGTCTCCCTGCCTCACAGCTCTGCAGATCTTCCATGAAAGGCACTGCTGCTACGCTGACGCTCATTAGCCACCTGCGAAACACAAACTGTTTCCCCATTGCTTGTTTCTGCATTCCTGAGGTTTACATGGGCACTACTGAGCCTCAGTGGCACCAGGACAGACACTGAAAGTCATAATTTCTTTTCTTTACCCATTCCAGGGGTTTCCTGCCTGGCTGATGAAAATCACTATTTGGTACAAACTACCGGCAATACCTCTCTTGCTTTCCTTTAACCCCGTTTGTTCTTCATGGCCCTTTAGGGTCAGAAGATAAGATCATCTCCACCTGAAGAATTTCTGGTACCCAGTTACCTTTAGGTTACAGCCTGTGTGTAACCTATGCCTCAGTGTCTTTTGTTTTACTCACCTCGTGGACCTGTTGTGACGGTTAAGTGGGGGCAGGCCTAGGTTACAACTCGGGGCTAGAGCATTGCCTAGCATGCCCAAGGTCCCGAGTTTGTTCCCTGGCAAGGAAAAAATAAATAAAAGAAAATGGTGAACTAAAGCTGGGTATGAAAGTACATGCCTGTAATCTCGGCATTCAGGAGACCAAGACAAGTGAACCTCGAGTTTAAGGTCAACCTGGATTACATGCTCCAAAAACAGGGGGAAAAAAAGAATATTCCCCCAGATCTCATTTCCCCACCTTCTTTTAACGTTGGGCATCAGGCACTTGCACTCAACCATCACAATAAGAGTTCACATAGGCTTATAATTCTAATTCCATGGCCCTGAAAGCCTGTGGTTGGGCATCCTTAATCAAAAGTCTCCAACACTCTGAGCACCAGCATTGCAGAGGGAGTGGAAAATTCCACACCAAGAAACTGTTTCATAAACAAAATTATCTAAAATGTACTAAATTACCTTCGAGCTATGCATAGGTGAAACATAAACGAATTTTGTCTTTAAACTAGAACCCTGTCCCCAAATATCACTTTGTATATGCAAATACGTATTTAGAAATGAAAGCCAAAAGACTTCTGGTCCCAAGCATTTTTAAAAAGGGATACCCCAGTGCTGATGTGGAACAGTGAAACTCATTGATCACGCAATAAGGTAATGGATGTAAAATCAAAACAATAAAATTTCCGTATGGTCCTGAGTATAGAGAATCTAATGTTGCCTCAGCATTTTAAGTGCTTGTGAATTCTTCCTCAGCAAGTTAGGTCCCTTGCACAGGGGTCGGGTGATCTTATTGACAGACCTCAGAATAATGCAGTGTGTGCTGGTCAGTTCTGGTATGGATAGACATCATGTTGCAGGATGTCTGGCCACTTTACTATAC